GGCGCAGCGTGGCGAACGCGCCGGAGCGCGGGAAACAGCTGAACGCGGGCGGTCGCTGCTGTCCGTTACTCTGAGGCTGCTCCTCGGACGCCCGGGTGAGTCTCCGCTCCCGGAGAAGCTTGGTCCCTTACCGCCTTATTGCGTGGCAGGCTGTCCGCTGTGCCCTTCTGGTGCCACTAGGTTGGGGGCCACGGGGCTGCGAACACGGAGCCCAGAGGGACGCTCACCTCCCCGCTTCCCCTCCCTTCGCTCCCTTCTCTCCCTTCCCGGCCTTTAAAGTAATGATACTGGATTTCAGGCAGGGGAAGGAAAGATGCCGGCCACCCAGAAGCCCATGAGGTACGGGCACACAGAAGGACACACGGACGTCTGCTTTGATGACTCTGGCAGGTGAGTTGCTTTGTTTCGGCCTCAAGGTGTGAAGGTTGGAACATTTCTTCTTCCACAGCACATATGCAGCCGCCGAAAGGACTCATACAGACAGGAACAACGCTGAAAGCTAAATGACACGTAGATACCCATAGGTTCGTATGCTTCACCCTGTGGTAGTTTTAGCCTATCAGAAAAGTTTTATTTTCAGAGGGGTTGGCGAGACACAAGTTACCACAATTCATAATAGCTAACCCTTGGAAGAAGCCTATGTATCCATCAACTGACGAATGGATACAGAAAATGTGATGTTTGTACACAGTGGAGTACTGCTCTGTTGTACAGAAGGGTAGACTGATTTGTAGGAAAGTAAATGCACTTTGAGATGATAATGCTAAGTGAAATAAATCAGACACACAAGCTTAAATATCATGTGTTTTAGATGAGAAGCCAAAAAAATAAAGAGCATACAAGGTCGTGGTGGCTCACACCTGTGATTCCAGCGCTTGGAAGGCTGAGGCAGATTGCCACAAGTTTGAGACCATCCTGGGCTACTAGTCCAACTCCAGCCTAAATTACAGAGTGATACACCCCTCTCAAACCAAAACAAAAAAATGCCCCAAAATATAAAGAGCAAAATAAAAATAATAGGAAATTAGATGGACAGAAGGAAAGGGAAGGAGAGGTAGAAAGAATTAAGATTTTTTGGGGGGGTGGGGGTACCTGGGATCGAACTCCCAACCTTGTGGTTGTGAGGCAGGTGGCGACACCACTGAGCTACATCCTGGCCCTCAGATATGTTCTATATAAGTACCAATTTCTCTTGATGTGATTGTTATGTACTGCAAACATGTGCTAGTGAAAAAATAGAAAGTGGAGAAAAAAAATGCAAAGCTGACCCCTCTCTGTTTTCTTAAATTTTGCTTTCTCTGCCTTCCATATTGATTTTGTCAGATGACTAGATACTGCCTGCTTGTGAGATTCAGTGGTTGTCCTAACTTCCTGGCATTTTAAAACTGATTTTTCTCTGTTTAATTCCTAGACGATGTCTTTCTAAACCCTGTTCCTATGCAGTATTGTGATAGGTGATTTCGCTGCTGTTCCTGTGTTGATTGATTCCTTGGAAAATATAAACGTGTGTCCACTGTACTGGGGGGCCCTAGGTACAATAGTGCAGAGAAGGCACCATCTTCTTTGTTGTTGTTTTTGAAACAGGGTCTTGTTGAGTGATTCAGGCTGACCTGGAACTCCAGTGCTGGGATTACAGGTATGCGCCACCATGCCTGGCTCTTTTAACTTTTTTAAGAGAGGGCAGAGTGTGGTAATAGAATGGAAATGGTAACGAGTGCACAGAATGCCTACTTTTAGTGTGAGAGAGACATCTTAGAGAAGAAAATCACCCATGGCCTAAAAGAAAGCTGTGACTTTTTTAAAAAAAGGATTTTTAAAAAGATTTTGTTGACTACGAATCTCAGGATTCTGGTAGTAATAAAGGGCTGGAAACCAGGCATGGCAGCACTCGCCTGGAAGCCCAGTACTTGGGGTGTAGAGGTAGCAGGCCGGCACCTGTTACTTTGTGCCTGTGTCTGTGTACGTGTGTGTGCACATGTGTGTGCATGGGCCTGGGAATGAGCTGCACCTCAGCCCCTGATTCCTTATTTAGATCCTCTGATGACACTGGTAGGAAAATTGGTGTCATTTTACCACTTTGAACAGTTCTTTCTGCAATGGGAAGAACTCATGTTCATTTTATTGATTTTGCTTTTTTACATGTCCAGATATGGCATACAGTGAATGAGTAAAAGCCTTGGGAAGAGTAGAGGTTTGAAACCAGTTGTGATCTGGGGTGTAGCTGAGCAGTAGAGCACTTGCCTACTATGTGTAAGGCTCTGGGTTTGATCCCCAGTACTGCAGAACACAAACATACAAAACCCATTACAGCAGATAGCCGTTCAAATAATCACCTCTGGACAGATGAGTCAGGAGTCCAGCCTTTTATTCATTCAGTGAACATTTATTAAAGTTGCTGTGTCTCCACTGTGCTCTCTCTCTCTCTCTGCAGAGCAGACTTCTTTCCTCCTTGTAACTGGCCCGCGTTCACCCTGCAGACCTTGCTGCTCTTCCTACCTTTAATAAACCACGCTGCCTTTTTCGCTTCTCTTGACCAATTCTTACTTTTCTGTTTGGGCTCAAACTTAAGCAGGCTTTTGGTAAGGAAGCCTAGCCTCCTCCTAAACGGCTCACACTCACTCTGCAGAACATATTTCTTTTCCTACCTTTAATACCTTTAATAAATGTAAAACCTTGCTTAAAAAAAAAAATCAAAGTAAAGTCACTGTATGGCAGACCGGTGGTGTGGATTTCTGAGCAAGGTAAACATGTTCCCCATTGTCGTGGAGATTGCACATTCATCTTCCTTATTATTACAAATGAGTAATTTTATGTCAAGGCAGAACTGCATAGAACTTGTTTTTGTTTGTCTGTTTGTTTCAAGACAGGGTCTCACTATGATTTGACTTGGAAATCACTATGTAGCCCAGGCTGGTCTTGAACTCATAGCAATCCTCCTGCCTCAGCCTCCCAAGTGCTGGGATTATAGGCGTGCGCCACCACGCCTGGCCAGAACCGTATAGAACTTTAAGGTCACATCCATTTCGTAGAATAGGAAGTTAGCAGTCTTTGTTATTAAGAGTTGTTTGTACAAAGTGAGAAAAAAATCAGCCAATACTTAATTTGATTTAAAAATACCTATCAGGGTAGCATTCCTAAAAACCTTATTCGCAGAAAGCTGGGTGACTTCTCTCGCATGTGTCTCCTTCACAGCTGTATTGTGACTTGTGGAAGTGATGGTGACGTGCGGATTTGGGAAGACTTGGACGATGATGATCCCAAGTCCATCAGTGTTGGCGAGAAGGCGTATTCGTGTGCTTTGAAGGTAATTGCGAAATGTAGATGCGTGTGCTTTTGGTGTGTGGTGAAAATGTTCTTAATACACGTTTGAACATAGATGTTTCTCTTATGGTATTCCAAAATGTATAAAAATGCCACAACTTGCCCCAGAATTTTAAAGGTAAGATGTGAACAGTTCATGGAAGGTGATTGGTGAGAATTAATAGTGAGTTGAGATATATACTAGAAGGTTATACTTTTAGGGAAGGTTTGTGTGCTCTCCCTTTTTCTCTGCTAGAAAACCCAGTGGTACTTTTTGCTCACGCTGACTCCAGTGCGTCCCCAGAAGCCACACTGGTGCTGGGCGTGGTTTAGGCTGGGAGGACTGTGCCCCCGTCAAGAGGGTCAGTGCATCGCTGTGAGTGGGTTTGTTCCTGCCTGCCCGAGTGGGGTCCTCTTTCTCTTTGCTCTTTCTCTCTGGGATGACATGGTGAAGCGACCCTCACTGGGAGCCAGTCCCTTGCCTTTGGACTCCCCGGCTCCAAAATGATGAACCGATAGATCTCTGTTCATTATAAATTCCTGAGTCTGTCACTATTACAGCAGCAAAGAACAGATTCAGACACTTACTTAGAGTACTCCTGGCATTAGGCAGGAAAATAGGGCTGTTTTACTCGATTTTCCCCCCATTGAGTTTATTGGTACATTTTAGGCATAGAATACAGTTATATTCATCATTGGGATCTTGTACCTTTACATGACAGGTCTTGGTTCTTATTTTTCCCCCATTCCCCTGCCCTCCCTTTACCCCCTCCAATGCTCCCTATTTACAAATACTTTGTTTTCATTTTTTCCTTTTCTTACATTTTTCTTTTGCCTTCTTTCCTTTCCCCTACCCCTCCCACTTCTACTCCTTTAGACATTTTCTTCCTATTTCACATTATCAATTATACATTTACACTTTTATACATTATTTACACTTTTAGTTTTTCATACCAGAGAAACTATTCAGTATTTACACATGTGTGTCCTATTTATCTCACTTAAGAGTATGGTCTCAATGTGTATCCATTTAGCTATAAATGTTGAGTCTGACCTGGAACTCACTATGTCACTATGTAGCCCACGCTGGTCTCAAACTCCCAGCGATCCTCCTGCCTCAGCCTCCCAAGTGCTGGGTAGTTTCTTGTTCTTGATGGCTGAGTAGTATTCCATTTTATTAAAAAACCACATTTTCTTTATCCAGTCTCCAATTGATAGGAAATTGGGCTGTTTCCAAGTTTTAGTTATTACAAACTTTGCCACTATAGACATGGGTAAGCATATATCACTTGGTGTGATTCTTTTAAATCTTTTGGGAAGATATCTAGCAAGGGAATAGCTGGATCAAGTGAGACCTATAACCTAGTTTTTTGAGGTATCTCCATATTGATTTCCACAGTAGTTGCACCAGTCTACACTCCCAGCAACAATGAAGGATCCCTTTTTTCCACAGTCCCACCAGCATTTGTTATTAGTTGATTTCTTGCTAGCAGCCATTCTTTCTGGAGTGAGATGAAATATCAGTGTTGTTTTCATCTGTATCTCTTGAACGACCAGTGATGTTGAACATTTTTCATGTGTTTATTTGCTGCTTTTATGTCTTTGTCTAAGAAATGTCTGTTCATTTCAGATGCCCATTTTTTAATTGGTCTTTATGTTTCAGGGGCCTGATTTTTTTTAAGTTCTTCATATATTCTAGATAGTAGATCTTTGTCTGGGAACAGCTGGTGAAAAATTTTTCCCACATTGTAGGTTGTCTCAGCTCTGTTGATTTCTTTTGCAGTGCAGAAGCTTTTTAATAAGATGAGATCCCAGTTGTTGATTCTTTGTGCTAGTTCCCATGCTACTGAGGATTTGTTCATAAAGTCTTTTCCTATGCCAGTGTCTTCAAGAGTTCTACTTAAGTTATTTTCCAGGAAGTTTAGTGTTTCTGTTTTAATATTTGATCTTTAATCCATTTGGATTTTAGTTTTGTGCATGGTGAAAGATAGGGATCTAGTTTTAATTTTTGACAGGTTGAAATCCAGTTTTTCCAACACCATTTATTAAAGAGGCTATCTTTCCTCCAGTTGAGGTTGTTTGGCTCCTTTGTCAAAGATGAGGTAGCTGTCTCTCGATTTGTTTGTCTGAGACACATGTGGGAATGAGAGACTACTTATAGAATGAAGATGTTCTCAGATTTTGGAAACTAAATATCTAAAAACTACTAAGGTTTTTATTTGTGAGGAATTGTAATTTGAGTACATTTTATTTAGACAAAAAGTGTTCCCATGGGATTAATATTTTTTCTAAATTTAGGTTCCTTAAGGTACATGAAATGGTCTTTAGATAGTCTAGATATTCTTGTGTGTGTGTGTGTGTGTAGGGGGCTCCTGGGATCAAACTCGGGTCCTTGTGCTTGCAAGGCAGGCAGCAGAACCACTGAGCCAAATCCCCAGCCCCTTAGATATTTTTTTTTTAATGATTGTAAATAATGAAATATATATTCCCTGAAGGAAAAAATAGTAATAACCAACATGTACTAAATTTAAGGTAATTCTCACTAATAAAGTACTGCAAATTAAACTGTTGGATATTTTTTCCTCCTTGTAAAAGCAAGTTGATGCTGTGTATCTAAATTAGGATATGCACAGTCACTTTTGGCTGTTTTCCTTAGGAGAAAACATACTTTCATGTTTCTGTGGGCAAGGATATTAGTAATAATATCATAATAGCAAAAGAAATGATTTAATCCATCAATAAAAAAGGCATTTTACAAATTTTAGTAAAGCCATGCTAAGTAGCCATCTTATTTAAAAAAGTATATATATATATATTTCCTTACTGAAAAGATATTTGTGCTTGTTGAAAGTGCACACACATATGGGTATAGAGGGTTAAGATTTATTCCTGAAATGATAATAGATTATTTTTTAAGAGCAAGTAAACTCACTCTGCTCAGGATACTTTGATATTATTTTTTTCTCCCACAGTGAGTATGTACTGCTTTTGTATGTGAAAAACATTGTCAGGAAAAGAAGTCATGGCCCTCCTATCAGCTCGCTAGTGCTGCTGTAATAAATGACTGCACATCTGGTGGCATCAGACTGTGGAGCTGTTGCCCCTTGGCTCAGGTACCCTGAAGTCTGAAATCAGGGTGTCCCAGCAGTAGTTTTGGCTGTTTCCAAGGCTATGGGGCAAAATTTGTCTTATAGGTCCTTGCTATTGTGATAGTCCTCAGAGTTTGTTGGCTTATGGATACTCTGTTCGGCCATTTGGATTTTATCTTACTCCGAAAGATGTACTGATCTTATTTCAGAAGTGTAGGGTAATGTGATGGTGGCCACTGTGGCCGTGATTTTAATGTCCTCTCTCGTTTTTTCTGATAAGCTCTCTTGAGTTTCTTTTATTTTTGCATTTAGGATCCATAAAAATATTACTTAAATATTTTTTTTACCAAAGGTAAAAGAAAAATTAGAGGCTAGAAGATTGGTTGGTAAAGAGAGAATTAGGTTTTCTAAAGCTACCCAATTCTGATAGACATTTCGGGTAAGTTGTACATTAATGATTTTTCTCTGGACATGAATTACATTTATAAGGGTTTTTGTATTTTACAGGATTTGTAGCTATGGAAATACTCTGAATGGATTTGAATTTGTCATGGTAATCTTTATTACCTTTGTTTTTCTTTCAGAATGGAAGACTGGTCACTGCAGTTTCTAATAATACCATTCAGGTGCACACGTTTCCGGAAGGCGTTCCCGACGGCATTCTCACGCGCTTCACCACCAGTGCCAACCACGTCGTCTTCAATAGGGATGGAACCAAAGTTGCTGCTGGATCAGGGTAAGGGCCTTTGATGTCAGAAAAAACAGTCTCAGGAGAAGAAGGCCTCATTCATTTGTTTCAGGGTTGTTCTTTTAGGATTCTGTTAGTTTATTTTTATTTGTTCATTTAACTTTTCATTCACATCTTTTACTTAGCAAAGGTCTGTAAAGACAAATTTTTGCTTTTTTTGTGAATATTTTACTTTTCAGACAGCCAGTTGAGTTGAAAAAGATTGGGGAAAGATGATGCTTGATATAAATTTTTAAATTATTTTTGGTGCAATCAGGAATTTCATAGATTCCCTTGAGGCTTATTTGTCATGGAAAAAATGTTTTTGGTTGAACTGCTGAGGTGGAATAAAAAGTGTAGTACTTTTTAAAACAATTGTGGTTATGAGAAACCCAAAGCACAGTGGACCCCCTTGACTTATGAATTCAATTTGTTCACAAGGGCTGGTTGTATTGTATTTCAAGTTGGTCAGTTGAGGCTCAGGCTTCACAGTCTCGCTCCTGTACACAGGCCCAGGATTTCTCAGTTAACTCCACACAGGAAAGGGTGCTGTCATGTTCCATCCAGGTCTCTGTAAGAGTTAAATCTGAAACTGAGACCATCTGGAAGTACAAGTGGCCAGCATTTAGGTTGTAACTCAAGACTTCATAAGTTAAAACTGAAAATCTGGTTTTAACCCAAGTTGTGTTTATGTCAGGCCAGTTGTGACTCAAGGATCCATGTATGAAAAAAGAGCACAGTAAAAGATAGATAATAGGACACAGGAAGATAGAGCTTTTGCAAGTGGGAAAGGGACCAAGAGGACGAGAGGGGAGGGGAGGGAAAGGAAGTGCAGAAGATGTACAAAGAATGATGAGTTATATATGTCCCAGCTCGCCTTGGTGAACATAATCATATACTGCAAACATGGACAGATAAAATTCTTTTTAAAAATGATTGTGGCTACACTGTGATTAGCAAATATAGAAGCTTAGGATGTAACTAAAGAAACCATTTGGGCAGTGTTTGTACTTAACATAATGGGAAATTTGGACTTGTATTCAACATCTTTATAAAGAAAAGAAACTAAAAGATAAGTCATTAAATTTGAGTTGTAAGTTTCTATAAAGAAGTTATACCAGTCACCTTTATGCTCGTGAAATATTTGAGTCATAGCTTTTGGGAGCGGCTTTTGTGGGGGTTTTTTTGGTACCAGGGATTGAACTTGGGACCTTGAGCTTACAAAGAAAGCTGTGGAACGCTGAGCTAAATCCCTGTCCTGAGGCTTTTGTGTTTATCCTTAGACACATGCGATTCTCCCTCTGTTCACAGGGATTTTCTCATCAAAATCGTGGATGTGATGGATAGCAGCCAGCAGAAAACATTTCGAGGACATGATGCCCCTGTTTTAAGTCTTTCTTTTGATCCTCAAGACATCTTTGTGGTAATTGCTTTATTTTCCTCTTTTTTTTTTTTTCGTAGTTTTTCTTAATGTGTTTAAAATGGTGAGAGAATTAGAACCTTCCACCCAGTTGGTCGAAAATGGCTTGAGTCTGTTGCACCATTCTCCATGTAGTATTCTGGCTGTAACCATAGAGAAATCTGTTTCTCCCACAGGCATCGGCTAGTTGTGACGGGTCTGTCAGAGTGTGGAAAATTTCAGATCAGGTAAACTCAGTAATTTGAATTTAAAACCTTTTTATCCATTTTGATAACACATTGAGTATTACGTAGTGTATTATTGGGTCAAAACACTTATTTTTCTTTGCAGTTTATTCCTCTAAGTAGCAAAGGATAATTTAATGTGAAGTAAGAATGTTGAGGACTAATTGCTTTTTTTCCCAATCCCAAGGAGAATGGTAGATTTGTATTTTACTTTTGAAGCTTTAATCAGAGGGAGGCAAATTCAGTTACACATTTCCAAGATAATTGACATGTGTTGGCTTTGTGTTTGAGGTTAGGGACACAAGAAAAAGTAAGGTATGGGCCACAGTTGATTTCTAAACACATATTCAACTTCTAACCCAGCCTGATGAAGGTTTTAAAGGCCGTATAAAGAAAATGCTCTGCCGATTGGCAGAGGAAATGGCTACATCTTCCTAAGATTTTATAAGCAAGCTTGGCATTTTTAGAAATAACGTGGCCTACAGGAAAAATCTCCATCAGTGCCATAGTTCCTCCCTCTCTTAAATTCTTTGGGACTGATTTGGACAACATTTTACAATGGATTGTTCAGTGTTTATTTATTTTGGTAGACACATTAAGCTTTTTACATATTGAGGAATGTTTTTAGTATATTTGCTTATTCTGCTCAAAAAATTCTCTCAAAGTTTTATTCTTCTACTTCTGAAAGACTTAAAGAATTTAGATTAATAAAGTATTTATCATAAGTGTACTAGATTGTTCTGAGATAAAGAACAATTTCAAGAGACCACTTATTAAATGTACTCAGTTCTACATACATTTGTAGGGAGAATTTTCATGAAGGAAAATACATTTTCTTTTTTCAAAAATCAGACATGTGCTATTAGTTGGCCACTGCTACAAAAATGCAACGATGTGATAAATGCAAAATCCATCTGCAGACTTGCTTGGCAGCCGGAAAGTGGGAAGGTAAATGACTTTATTTCTCAACCTTTGAATTATTTCGTCTAGTATTTCTTTGTTTAGTTTTTGTTTGTTTTTTGGTACAAGGAATGGAACTCAGGACCTTGCCCTTGCCAGGCAGGCGAGGCACTAGTGAGCTAAATCCTCTACCTTTCATCTAGTCTTTGTCAACTTTGAGTGTAAAAATAATTTTAATTGTAACTGTTACATTTGGATAGTAAATTTTAGAGCCCAAGATGGATAATTAATATTTAAATGTTTTCAGAAATAATTCAAGGGCCAGGGATTTAGCTCAGTGGTGCTGCTACCTCCCTTGTAAGCTCAAGGTCCCAAGATTGATCCCCCCTACCCCCCCAAAAATTCAACTTTTTAAGATTCTTTTTGAAGTGCATTTATTATTAGTTAAATTTAGATTTCTTTTTATATTCATGGTTAGTGGAACGACTATAGGAATAGTCTTGTGTCTAATCTTATTACTGGTATTGCATTTTTTTTTTTTTTTTGAGACCCGGTCTCACAGTGTAGTTGAGACTGACCTGAAACTCACTATGACCTCAAACTCACAGCGATCCTCCTGCCTCAGCCTCCTGAGCACTGGGATTACAGGCATGTGCCACCATGCCCAGCTGGTATTGCATATTTTATCTGCCCTAACTGGTGCAGTTAGACAACCCATTTATGAGAAGTTTAAAAGGATGGAGAAATTTGCAGACATGCTTAAATAAAAAGGAATCCCAAGAAAATCAGGTGGGGGATAAGATGTTACTGATATTAAGAAAATTCAGGGGCCTGAGGTATAGCTCAGTGTTAAAGTGCTTGCCTAGCATGTGTGAGACCCTGGGTTCAATTCCCAGCACTGCTAAAGAAGAAAATTCAGTAAGATTAGCTGGAAACATAATCCATATGCAGAAGTACCAATGACAATCCCATATAGAAATAGTAGCCAGTTAGACAATATGCTAGAAGAAAATAATGCTTTTGCTGTTAAATCAAAAAAGTAAGGTGGGCGTCATGGCACACACCTGTAATCCCAACCCTCTGCAGGCTGCGGCAGGAGCATCGCCATGAGTTCATTGCCAGCCTGAATTATGTAGTGAGACTATCTCAAAACAAATAAATAAATAAGTGGGGATAAAGATACTATGAAGTGTGAAATATCTGCATGAAGACAACTGTTACATTCTGCTAAGGAGTACAGGAAGTCTTGCATAAATTCCAGTTTTAGAATTTTTGATTTATATAAAGATAGTGATTTGCAAAAGCTGGGCATGGTGGCGCAGGCCTGTAATCCCAGAATTTGGGAGGCTGAGGCAGGAGGATCGCTGTGAGGTCGAGACCAACCTGGGCTATATAGTGAGTTCCAGGTCAGTCTCAACTACATTGTGAGACCCTGTCTCAAAAAAAAAACAAAAAACAAAAGATAGTGATTTTCCCTAAATTAATCAGTTGTTTTGACAGCATTCAAATATAAAAATACAAAAAATTTGGTTGAGAGGACCAGTAGAAGGGACTCTAAAGTCTGTGTGGAAACTAGAAGTATTAAAAAAGAAAAAAAGGACAAAAAGTTTAATCTGATATTAAAACATATTATAAAGCCATGGGAATGAAAAGTTTGCTACTGACTTGTGCATAGACACGTGTCTGTTAAACATAAATAGACAGAAATATGCAGGAATTTAGTAGATAGAGGTATAGAAAAGGAGCAAAGGAATCTCAGGAGTTGAGAATTGCTCACGACCCTCTCAGAGGCCTCTTAGGAATCTATAGATAATTGCTATGTTATTCTTTCAAGTCTATTTATGTGAAAGTTTTCAGAAAATAAGATTAATCACAACTAAAACATTTTTGCACAATTAAAAAAAATACTAGTCAGGACAGGTGACAAACTTGGACAAAACAGATTAAAACACTGTAAGAAAGAGCTCATTTCCTTAGTGTAAAAAGTGTTCTTACATATCAGTAAGAACACAGTGAAAAGGTGGACGGAGACAGTGCTTGCTTCAGCAGCACATGTACTAAAAAGGTGGGCAAAGACAGGTACAGAAGGAGGCTGTGGCCTTCATTTATCTACTGATATATTTCTGCACTGCTGGGGACCAATCCTAGGGTGTCCTATAATCACACCCATATGTACACACTATAGTTTGTAGAACAAACTTATACCACTGTTTGTAGCAGTAGAAGATTGGAAACCAACCTAAATGTTCATTTGCTGCTATCTGGTAGTCTTGAAAGCGAGATTCTCTCTAATTGTTAGGGTCACATTTTTCTTTATGTCCTCATGAGATAATCTTTAAGATACATTGTTAAGGGCCTAGGATTTAGCTCAGTGGATCCACTGCCTGCCTTGCAAGCGCAAGGTCCGGAATTCCATCCCTGTTACCAAAAAAACAAAAGGTACATTCCTAAGTAAAAAACATCAAATTGTAGAATAAATATAGTTGCTACTGTTTATTAATACAAAAGTGTGTGTATATACTTAAGTATTTCTTAAGTACTTAAATATATTTATGTACATATTCTGTGTATCTTATAGTTATATTTGCCTTTGAAGGGTAAAAATAGGGTTTGGGGATAGGAGGGAGACTTTCAACCTACTGTACACCCTTTTGTAACCATGTGTGGTGGTGTAGACCTATAATCCCAGCACACAGGAGGCTAAGGTGGAAGGATTGCAAGTTCAAGGCCAGCGTGGGCTATGTAGCAAGACCCTGTCTTGAAAACAACCAAAAATGTCTACCCTTTTAAGTTCTATGACTTTTAAGCATATACTTTCTGTGTTGAAATGATAAGAAAATCGTGTATTTTTTCTTTGCTTTCAAAGCATGAATTAATCTAATTTAAAAATTAATTGAACTACATGTGTATGTGTCTATATGTATAGAATAAACTTGGAGAATATACACAGGTTTTCTTTTGTTTTTGTCCTGAGGATTAAAGCTTTGTGCTCTGCCGTTGAGCTGTACACTTGGCCCTGCAGTTTTTGGGTTTTTTTGTTTGTTTTGTCTTTTCTTGTACTAATATTTTTTGGAAGGCTTTGTAAGAAGACAAATTTCTTTTTTTTTCCTCTTAAGATAGAGGATTTTGACTGTTTACTTCTAGAAAATTAGATGAATTTTTAAGTCCAAAGAACCTAGATTTCTTAAACCGTATTAAAAATACTAGTAACTACCAAGTCTCTGCTTTCTGGTACAAGCAGTAGAATGATCATCACCATTTTTTGTTTTGCTTTGTTTTGCTTATCAAAATCTTAAGTAATTGCTGAGTTGTATTGCCAGTTAAAATACAGATTTGCTCTTCTGTTTTGTACATTTATCTAGATGAACTTGGTGCTTTTCTCCCCTCTCTTTATTGAGTGTAATATCAATTTTTGTTTACATTGTCTCTTTCCTAATAGTTACTGGCAGTTCCTGTGGAAAAATCTGTGAAGCTATATAGAAGAGAAACTTGGAGCATTCAGCTTGATCTTTCCGATAGTTCCATCTCTCAGGTGGGTTTCGTGCATGTTCAGTGGCTCTCTGTGGGCCTCGGGGAGGTTCCCACGTCCTCCTGCGGTCAGGTGTGTGGACAATGGCTGCAGGCTGTGGTGTGGGTGTCTTGCGCTGCCCTTTTCACCAGTGACAGGTCATTGATACCCAGAGGTCCCATCTGACCTTTCTCTGTGGGAGTCAGCCGTTGGCTTTTATGAAGAGACTTGGATCATAGTTTCTGGAGTGTTAGAGCAGGAAAGATTGTTAAGTCTATTTCTCTACCACTCTCTTTCCCACCCTCCCTCCCTTCCACCTTTCTCCGTCTCCCTCTATTCTTGTCTCTGAAATTTAGAGCAAGAATGGTGGTTGCTCTCTGTTCTCTTGCTCGGTCTCTCCCGGCGCACGTCGTGTATTTTACAGTGAAGGCGTCCAGGCCTGCAGGTCAGCGGCAGCTTAGTCAGGCTCCCTGCACTAACTGGTTCACTTCGTCTCGGGTAAATGCTAAGGGGACACCTTGCACCATCTCTTCCCATGGTAATAATAGTTTTTACATTTTACTTTTAAAATCGTGCTGCCATAGTTTTCTCATAAATGAAGTAATAGCTGCTAATGTAGGTGAAGATTATTGAAAAAAGAAGTTTAAAAAATGAGCAAACTGAGTTCTAGGTCAGCTTGGACTGCAAAGCCAGACTTTGTGTCAAAAGCAAAAACCTATGTCTTGTCACTCCTTTTTTCAAATATAATTAGAAATAATATAGATCAAGGATGTACAACTTTCAATTTGGTAATGAAATGAATATTCACATTACCCAGAATTGTTACTTACGAACTGTTTTTCTTTATAGAGCCTCAACGTGGTAACCTGGTCTCCTTGTGGGCGATATTTAGCTGCGGGTAGTGTTAATGGCCTAATTATAGTGTGGAACGTAGAAACCAAAGACTGTGTGGAAAGGTATGCTTTATTGTGCATTTTGTTCTTCCCTCATTTCTGTTAGTCTTTTTGTTTATTAGGAAGCATTTCAGAGTTTCAGTTGTTAATCATAATGAAAGTACATAGCTCTTACATTGTCACAAGTTTACCCTTTCCAACTAAAATTTACCTAAAGAAATGTACAGTTTATATTCTTCCTGACCATACTTTAAGAGCCCACTTTCTTATTTTTAGGGTGAACCATGAGAAACGTTATGCAATCTGTGGCCTGGCCTGGCACCCTACCTGTGGCCAAATATCTTACACAGACGCTGAGGGGAACCTGGGGCTGCTGGAGAATGTGTGTGTGTCCAGTGGGAAGGTGTCAGGCAGTAAGGTAAGGAGTGACGATACTCAGTATCTATCTGTGATAAAGGAAACGTAAGCTTGTTCAACCTACTTTTTTTTTTTTTTTTTTTT